AGGTAACGAAATCACATAAAGCGAGTCGATGCGTTTTTGTCTCGATCAGAACAGTAACTTTTTGCTGAGTTATAGGATGGCTACAATAGGCGAAAACTTTAAATACCTATCATCAAGGTCAGTGGTCACCGAGGTCATTCGAGGTCACCATATTCGAAAGGCCTATGAAATCGCATACCGCAAATCTACTGGAGTGGTACCATTTTCGTTTCGATCAGCTCGCTACAGGTCTGCCTATCAACGGCAGATTCAGAAATTCGCTGGCCCTGCATATGCTGCTCTGGCAGCGGATTCACCGAATGTCCGCCTGCCACTCATGCCAGTAGCAGGCTCGGAAATTCGTCGGCCCCGAGTTTGCTGTTATTATACCGGCAGCGAATTCGTTGCATAGGCGGCGGAATGGGGAGGGCACCGGGGCACCGTGCCCCCTTGATTTTGGCATTTTAACATTAGCTCTATGGGCGTTGCATAGAAAGAATGGAACCAAAAGTCGGCAGTGCCCTCGGGAAGGTCGGGAAGGTGTTCCGCCGCTCCTGATTCGTTGAATGACTGTCTACTAGCAGCAGATTCGGGGCGATACCTGCTGCTGCCTATTGGCCAATATCGTAGTCATGCCGTGCTCGTAGTCAGGCCGTAGTCATCCCCATTGGGTCCTGCGTGCACGGGTCTCCGTGGCGGCAGAACCAAATGACCTTACCGAGGATGCTCTTCATTCTCAACACTGGCTCGTGCCTCGTAGTGTCATCAATTTATGTGTTTTAACACTAAAAAACTAGTTAAAATAAAAAAACACGAGCAGTTATTTTTTCTCGTATAAATATTGAAATGCTGTCTGAGAAAAAATGTCATTTACTTTTTGCAGTGAACTAATGGCTTGTTTGTGAATTTTTTGCTGTGTTTTAGAGGATAATTTATGACAGGCTATAGGAGTGGCGCAGATGTTTCAAACGTGATTTTTTGAAATAGCACTGGCGACAAAGAGCAATAGGGTCAATGCGTGTTTATTTTATTGGAAATTATTCTTAGTTACCCTAGATTTCCGATGCTACTTACCCAGTAAGGAAGGGTTCATTCGATTTCTTTCATGCACAATTTACTTCTTATGCTGTTCCTTCAGCGCTGTCGATACAGCTTACACAAAAATACACTCGCTAGATCGGCCAATGAGGCGGCAGAACTAGGAAACAAGCGCACTTTTCACCAATGAAAAACCGAGATGCGTCTGCAACATATGCGGTAGGCATGCTACTGAACAGATCCTCTGCGCGTATCAGTACCTTGCCCTCAACCTATATACCCTGCCTTCAACCTCAGAATTTGATCATTTGTCTTATTTGTTAATTTAATCACAGATTTATCCATATTAAGATTTGTAATTGTAATTGTAGAGAAGTTGGTGATTCAGAAGTCTAAATATGATAAAATGTCATATTAGAAAAGTCTGGATTTCTGTGATTATATCAGTTGGGCAAACTAGGCGGCGGGAATCAAAATATGGAGGCATCAAAATATTGATTCTAGTGGGCGGAGCTTTGACCATATTTGGGCATACGTGCAGACCATCACAGAAACGTCAATTCTTCAGCAACCGGCTATAATTTCAAGATAGTTTCTTCACAAAATGAAGAGCAACGTTGAAGCTACCCGCCAGGCACGAAACAATAGCCCTAACCTCTTTGGTTAGTTTAGGAAAGCGTCTTGAAAATAATCAAGATATTGATTCATCACGGCGGCTTATCCCGGCGAGAATCAATGTTTTGATTCCGCAAACAGCTGGCTAATCATTATTTTGATTCTGAAATCAGCTGGTTTATCAATATATTGATTCTGCGAACTGACTTTCTGCAGACGTACTTCACTCTTCAAATTGATTTATGGAATGTTTCTTGTGTGCAAATAATGCAAATTCAATAAATTCATGAAGATATTATCAGCACAGGATCGTGTAATTTTTTTCTAGACCTTATTCCCACGGTAGACCAGGGATTTTCAGCACTCACCCTGGCTCCCTGCTCAAAGCTGCAAGCCTTCGAGGGAATGCGTGAAGGGAGCCGTGCTGACCTTTGTATAGGGGTTGTACTGAGTCGGAGCCGGAACCGAAGCCCGACCATTTTGCTCGGATCCGGAGCTGGAGCCGATTTTTTCCTCCGGAGCCGAAGCCGTCTGACATTTTCACGGCTCCACACCCCTGCTTTGTAGCATTGATTTTGAGTAAAAAAAAAGTTAACTTATCGTCTTTCACGTGTTCATGATTGTGTTTCTACGCATATGTATCCCGTCCCATTTCTGTGGAGTACAGTAAGAGATATTTCGCCGAACAATATACTCAAGCCCGTTGCACAAATTGCACAATTTGAATGAATATATGATACACGGATGTATTTGCAGTCGCAAATAATACGATTTCATAACACATTTCACAACGATCCCTGCAATTGCCACACATTTGCCATCACAAAGCCCACTCGTTGATGCTCACATCCCATGCAAAGCAATACTCACTTTTAGGACACGTCTCTTATTCAATATGGCTACGTATTTGCAAAACATGCAGTTAATAATATTTGAAACTGAGACCTAACCAATAAGACATACCGTGGACAGGTAAGAAAAAACAAATAAACGTCTGGAGAATGACCTCAACGTCTCGATGTTGCCTAATTACAAAGAGCAATTTTCGGTTTCGAATCAAATACATGAAATAAATATTAACAAAATTTGTACAGATACACTCAATATAGGGTTTATGATTAGCACGGCTACCTAAAACATCAATCCTGTCAGGTTGAGCCACTTATGTCCACACCCAAAGCAGGTCGCTTTGGAACACCACAAGATCCCATATTACCACCGAAAACGGTCACCAATTGGTTTACTGATCAGCATCTTCAGAACATTCTCGACCAAAAAGCTATCAGTCCTGTCTGTGTTTTGGTTCGCTTCATTTGGGCTATGCGCACGTTTTTCTACTCCGGTTCTAGGGACGAGATAGCAGTCATCACGCGCTGCACCAGCTCGTTCTTTGACAGGTTGGTGACGCTGTCGTCATCCGGCAGGATAAACACGTGGCGCATTTCACCCTCGGCCCCGCCAGCCACATACACACTTCCTTACGTCATATTGTTTCTCGCCACGAGATCAAAGTTCAAAAGGTCGTGATGTAGGTAGTCTCGGCCCAGCCCGAGTCAGGTACTCCACCGGGCACCGGTTGGTCGGGTGCGGCCAGGTCCGCGCAACGCCGCCCTACTTCGGTCGACGCTCTGGTTGACAGGGATGGCGTTGTCATACAGTTGCCTGTCGACTGAACAGCGATTCAAGACGCCATCCTTGACCCTCTGAAGCCGATCCCCGCAACAACCAGTGTTTGATCCTTGGTTAACCTGCAGCAAACAACAGAACACAATAATTAGGACATTTGTGGACAATAAATTAGGAAACTATATGTGTTATTATTCTACTTGTTCACCAACTATTAATTTTAGAATATATTCATTAAAAAATTAAATTGTCACTTAAATTTCCACTGAACGCCACCAGGTGTGCCAACAACTGTCATTTCATGCAGTTATAAAAATTCTGCCAAAAAGTAGATGAGGCCAGTTGTACCAACAGAAAAATAGGTGACTGCTGGATTTTTTTGTCTAAAAGTTACTTCACATACAGAGCATGAACGGTACAACCCTATCCGTTTACGTGCCCATCATGTTAGCTCCATGTGAAGCAGTCTTTAGGCAAAAAATTCAAGCAGGCAGCTATTTGTGTTGATAAAACTGGCCTCTAAAATTAACTTTGGCATGGACAATCCTGAAAATTAACTATCCAGCATTCCCTGGACTGACGTAAATTAGCCACATAATTTTCTTGAAGATCACGCATAATGTAAATATAGCTTACACCATTCAGCAACTTGCTTTTGTTACACTTAAAATAAGCGTCATTAAATATGAAGCAAAAATGGGCGAAGCAATTACAAGCCAAGCATACATACCTACTACTTAGATAAGGCAAACACGAACATGCACTACGACCTTTCAATCTTAACTCGGAACAAGTCAATAACCTAGTTTCCCCTAAAAATTTAAATGCTACAAATTAAAGTTGTAGCAACAATTGGGTGAGTGAGACACAAGCAGAGGCTAAAACATCCAAATTATGAAAAATATTGGACAAGCACTGCCCCCAATTCATGAGTCCACCCAACAATTCTATCATGCGAGACAAAACATTAGGCTTCTTGTAACTAATTTATACCGTAACTTTTAAAGGACATCATATTTCACTGAAATACTACACCTAAGACATCATTTTCAAAAAAAAATATAGCTTAAAAAGACATTAGAAGAGTGAGAAGGCGTCCCGCGCCGCTGACGTCGCTACCGCGCCACGTACCTAAAACCATCTCTTAAAACGAGTTTTCGGTAAGAAACGTTAAGATCACATGCCTGAAATTGAAAAACACACTTCAAAGTATCTTAAAATATGATCCATTGTTACTTACACTTCAGAAAAGGTCGCTTAAACAAAATAAAACCGAGAGCACTACGTTGCATCCAAACACCCACGACGCCGGCGCGAAATGGCGGGAACCGGAAATCGTGGCTGGATACAAAGAAAAAGAATATTTCTTACAAATGAATTATACAACTATATAACGCATTTTTTATTTTCTTTTAGACAAAATTATGAAAAAATTACAAAGGCTCGTCGTTAATGATAAACAGAGCAAGTTTTAACAGCACGTTTTTGTTGAATTATGGCGGCGAAATCTTTATGCCGTTCGTAAAGGTACGCGCGACAAACGGCTGATAGCCATGCAGCGAAAAATTTAAGCGGGGAAGTTTTTTGTATTGACTTGTCAAAAAATCTCGCCGTCATGGGGGTTATTTCCGCCGTAACGGGTCGTCTGAAGGTGGGAATGTCCCAAATTGAATCAAAATATTGATTCTATGCCCATATATGGTCAAAGCTCCGCCCACTAGAATCAATATTTTGATGCCTCCATATTTTGATTCCAGCCGCCTAGTTTGCCCAACTGATATAGCAATAGAGAAGCTTATTAGCTCACCAGTCACTGCTTCTTTCTCTCAAGCTGTTTATATACCAGCCAACTCGTACAAAGGTTTATTTGCTGATTTATTTGATGACGGTTGATGTCAGTGTAATAGTGCTTTAAGCTAGGCTAGCCTTTGTTTGTATATGCTAGGATACATGATTTTATATGATTACTTTGCAATTGCTTGGCAGATAATGATGATTGAATTGCTATAACACATATCATGATTGGAGCAATTTTGACCCCTAGTGGTAACTGGTACCTAATATCTCATTAAAGAGGACATGACATGCAGACATGTGATACTTATTCCAACATTGAGTTGTATCAGATGATATCCGCAAGCGACATGTTATTATTAACTTATTCCGATAGTTTCTCAGACTTTGGTAGGTATACACAACATGGGAAAAAATCTTTAGACATTCTTGCCCATATATGGTTAAGGCGATTGCCTCCCCTTGATTGGAAGTTGTTTGTAGAGATATGTGCATCAATAACTGATGTACTTTAAATCTGTTCTTTCTTAGTCTTGTCAGACTATACTTCCTGCAATGCTCCATCACATTATAAATAAACTGTAACTGAGTACAGTCTGACTACCCATTCTGAGCGCCGCTGTGTGGATGTGTTCCAGCGGACTGAGCCATGATCGAGGTGATCTGTGAGCTGGTGGACGGGCCGGTGTTCCTGGCCGGCCAGACGCTGCGCTGTACCATCACCCTGCGCTGCCCGGAGCTGGACCGACAGGCGGCAGCCACGTCCAATAGCGACGTCTGCGAGAACCTCGCATGGGTCAGCGCGCAGGTGAGAGGCAGGTGGTATTCTGCTATGAATCGTTTTTAGACAGGAGAATTACGATGAGTTTGTTATTTGTCCCATAGCTTGCTTGCGTATCAGACTACCGTTGGTGAGAGCTCGAGCTTGTGTCACTGGAGCGCTCGACAGTTGAGACTCCTGACGGGCATGGTCTGCGGTTGGTGAGAGCAACCGTGATCCTTTGAAAGCTGTTGGGTGGGAGTGACCGTGTCGGGCTTAGATGGGCACGTCAAACTTTGGTATCACAATTATTTCGTCTCTCTTGCCTGAATTCCTCTCTCGACCGAACTTGTACGATTCCAATCGGGAGTAGGGGGTCGGAATCCACACAACAAGCTCTCCTGAGCGTGAACTCCGGCCATCAATCCGCCGATTTGAACACTCGAACTAAATAAAAAAAGAGAATTATCACTGTAGCTGAACGATGTTCTCACAGCCTCACCCGACCCTCTCGTCCTCAGGTGCAGTGCTTCTGTCAGGTCAATGACCACAAAGTCCGCCACCGCGCGGCGGCCACCGACGCCGACCTGGCAGCCGTCTCCAGTACGGCCTACCTCCCGGACCGCGGCGAGCGGGGTCGGATCGTGCTGGCCACAAAGCCCACCATCCTGGTGTGCGACCTGCGCCTTCGACCCGGCCAGGCACACCGGCTCCACTACAGTCAAAAACTCCCCGCCGACGCCATGCCCACCTACCTGGGACAGGCGGTCAGATATGTGTACAAGGTGGGTGGCCGAAGCGACGGACTGTTCAATTGTGTGGCTACCATTTTTATCAATTCTTCCTCACATCGATCGTTAAACTAAGTGTTGCTTTTAGCAACATTTGATGTTGGTTTTGATGAATGAATTTAAATGTTACATTGAAATTAAACGTCACATTAATGTGTCTAAACGTTTTACATGCCGGTCCTTGATTCTCACACCTTCTGTGGTACCAGCCTGCACCTCTAACCTTCCGTGATCCCTCTATCACTTTACCCTCCCCTCCCGTCAGGTGACTGTGGGCGCTCAGCGTGTGAACAGTTCGATCCGGCTGCTGCGCGTGCCGGTCCGCCTGCTCCCCCTGGACCCGGCCGTCACCGTGCACCGGTCGGACGCCGAAGACGACATCACTCCGTCGAACCCGTTCCTGCCGACGGCCGCCGAGCCGGGGGAGACGAGTGACGAGCAGACTCTGCAGCTGCTGCAGCACAGCGTGGCGCGTCGCGCGCCGGCCTACTTCAACATCACCAACCAGGTGACGGAGAGAGAGGGGGAGACAGACAGAGCCGCGCGCCGGCCTACTTCAACATCACCAACCAGGTGACTGAGAGAGGGGTGGGAGGGACACTAAGCCGCGCGCCGGCCTACTTCAACATCACCAACCAGGTGACTGAGGGGGGAGGGAGAGACAGACAGAGCCGCGCGCCGGCCTACTTCAACATCACCAACCAGGTGACTGAGAGAGGGGAGGAGAGGGAGGGGGCCCCGACGGAGAGAGTAAGTTAAGGGAGCTGAGAGGAAGGGGGCTCCCACGTCATTGACCAGTATTCGGCAGAGGGGAGCTGGGGATCCTGCTCACCAATACTCGTCTTTTGTAGGAGAGTTGTTTTCACGTTTTCACTTTCCACACTACAACTGACTTACCTTCTGAAATCACCTATCTCCTGTCTCCGCCGTCTAACCGGTCTGCGTCCCCGCCCCCGAGCAGCACGGTCGGGTGGTGCGCTTCTGCATGTTCAAGACGGCCTTCAAGCTGGGCGAGGACGTGGTGGCCACGCTGGATTTCAGCGAGTCGGACGTGCGCTGTGTGCAGTACTCTGTGACGCTGGAGAGCGTGGAGACGGTCCACGAGCAGCACCAGCAGAAGGAGCAGCAGAAACCCGTGACGCGCGCATACAACAAGTGCCACGAGGTGGGTCACCGAGGGGTCTCGGGTCCTGGGCTATCTCTGTTCCTTGACTATTGTAGCGCGGGTGTCTGTGGTGTTGCTAAGCTACCATTTTGTAGGTAGTCCCGTAATTCCTCTGGTTTCTCACCCGAGTTTATTGAGCTAGATCAGCATTTGGCAGACATTGCGTGTCGTCTCGTAATCCACGGAAGTCATAATGCGCCTTTTTTACACCGCAGACGTGAAGCGGCGGGAAAAAGCGCAATCGAATCGATAAGCGACTCGATCGTGAAGTCAGGTCGCCTTAAACACAGTTATTTGTTTATGTAAGCAGAAATCGGCAACGGTCAGGAAAAGTACCCTCTGTCGCCGTTTGAATAACTATCAGACAAACATATAATTTCAGCATAGATATCTCCATCAAGGTACGAACTTTTTGCCGTAATTAATTTTTTATCCACAAGGCAATCAGGTTTATGCGTATACAGTTAAAACCCGTCTGCTGAACAGCTACCGCGTTCCTCCCTCCTCGGCTGCTCTTGTCAGCTGATGACAGGAAATGTCGTAACACGCCGGCGGGAACCGGTTTTTGGCCCGTAACTGTCACGGTATCCGCTGCAGTGCGCCGTCCGCTGTGGCGGGTCACGTCGGCCAAATGGCGCAGTGTGTATTAACCGCTGCTACTGCAGATGGATGTTTCCCGTGGGCTATTTTGACGGAGGTGCCTGCCTGTGTTTGGTGCGGTTGGTCGGCGATGTCAGGTGCCGTAATATGGAACTGCAGGCCGCCTTGATCGCAGCGCTCGCCTCATTCGCTTCATGCGGTAGTAGGTTCTGCAAATATTAACTTCAGTTGTCTCGGCTTCCCTTAGAGCGGACAGGGATTCTGAAACGTAATCCACCACCATCATCATCAGTTATCAGCTTGATCCCCCTGTTTTTCTCGCCCTCCCCTTCTCTCCTCTGTGCAGATGGTGATGTTGCCGGTTCCGCTGTGTAACACCCTCCCCCTCTGTACAGGTGTGTCTGAACCTGGAGCAGACGCACGTGATGCTGCCGGTGCCGCTGTGTAACACCCTGTCCCCCTCTCTCTATCTCACACGCGTTCTCTCTCCTCTATCCAGGTGTGTCTGAACCTGGAGCAGACGCACGTGATGCTGCCGGTGCCGCTGTGTAACCCTCCTTCCCCCCTCTGTACAGGTGTGTCTGAACCTGGAGCAGACGCACGTGATGCTGCCGGTGCCGCTGTGTAACCCACCTTCCCCCCTCTGTACAGGTGTGTCTGAACCTGGAGCAGACGCACGTCATGCTGCCGGTGCCGCTGTGTAACACCCTGTCCCCCTCTCTCTATCTCACACACGTCCTCTCTCCTCTGTACAGGTGTGTCTGAACCTGGAGCAGACGCACGTGATGCTGCCGGTTCCGCTGTGTAACACCCCCCCCCCCTCTGTACAGGTGTGTCTGAACCTGGAGCAGACGCACGTGATGTTGCCGGTTCCGCTGTGTAACACCCCCCCCCCCCTCTGTACAGGTGTGTCTGAACCTGGAGCAGACGCACGTGATGCTGCCGGTTCCGCTGTGTAACACCCTCCCCCTCTGTGCAGGTGTGTCTGAACCTGGAGCAGACGCACGTGATGTTGCCGGTTCCGCTGTGTAACACCCCCCCCCCCCCTCTGTACAGGTGTGTCTGAACCTGGAGCAGACGCACGTGATGTTGCCGGTTCCGCTGTGTAACACCCCCCCCCCCTCTGTACAGGTGTGTCTGAACCTGGAGCAGACGCACGTGATGCTGCCGGTTCCGCTGTGTAACACCCTCCCCCTCTGTGCAGGTGTGTCTGAACCTGGAGCAGACGCACGTGATGTTGCCGGTTCCGCTGTGTAACACCCCCCCCCCCTCTGTACAGGTGTGTCTGAACCTGGAGCAGACGCACGTGATGTTGCCGGTTCCGCTGTGTAACACCCTCCCCCTCTGTACAGGTGTGTCTGAACCTGGAGCAGACGCACGTGATGCTGCCGGTTCCGCTGTGTAACACCCTCCCCCTCTGTACAGGTGTGCCTGAACCTGGAGCAGACGCACGTCATGCTGCCGGTTCCGCTGTGTAACACCCTCCCCCTCTGTACAGGTGTGCCTGAACCTGGAGCAGACGCACGTCATGCTGCCGGTGCCGCTGTGTAACCCTCCTTCCCCCCTCTGTACAGGTGTGTCTGAACCTGGAGCAGACGCACGTCATGCTGCCGGTTCCGCTGTGTAACACCCTCCCCCTCTGTACAGGTGTGCCTGAACCTGGAGCAGACGCACGTGATGTTGCCGGTTCCGCTGTGTAACCCTCCTTCCCCCCTCTGTACAGGTGTGTCTGAACCTGGAGCAGACGCACGTGATGCTGCCGGTTCCGCTGTGTAACACCCTCCCCCTCTGTGCAGGTGTGTCTGAACCTGGAGCAGACGCACGTGATGCTGCCGGTGCCGCTGTGTAACACCCTCCCCCTCTGTGCAGGTGTGTCTGAACCTGGAGCAGACGCACGTGATGCTGCCGGTGCCACTGCACGTGACGCCCTCGTTCCGCTCCGAGCTGGTCGAGCTCAGCTGGCGTCTGCACTTTGAGTTTGTGACCACGACGGGCGGCGCTGTGCCTCTGGCCACGCCGACCGACCCGGCGCACCACGCCACCTGGGAGGCGCCCGACACGCTGCCCATCGAGACCATGGTGTGGGACCTGCCGGTGCGGCTGTGTCCCACCAGTCCCGGCCACGTGGCGCAGGCGCTGCATATGGCCGTCACCCATGCAGTGTCCGTGTGAGGGGGTGGGGAGGGGGGAGGTAGTCTCATGGGACCAAAGACTGAGACGGTGCGGTGGGTGAGGACAGGTATGGTGCTCGCTGTGGTCGTGTGAATTGTGGGGTTGAAATATGGTGTTTCTGCATTCTGGGATGATTGGATGGTTATGTCTTGTACTGGGGTACTGGCCCGGCCGTTTAGTGAAACAGACCGCGAATGTATGTCAGGTGGCGTCGTAATTCACTTTGTTACCCATTTCCACATGTTGTACGCAGATGAATCTCATAAGCACTTTGCAATACGTGTCAAATCAAACCTTAATCGCATTGTTTTCGCTCCATTTTTTGCCTTTAGGCCTGATCGATTCGGATGTTTATTGAGACTGCTGCTAAAGCTAACATCACGCGTTTAAAATCAATTAACAACGAAGTGGGATTCAAGAGCGAAGTTGAACCCTAGTTCAAAGGCCTACCGTGATTTTCAGCGTCATTTATGGACTATGATCGTAGGTTTCCATGACGGACAAAATGGTCTTATGAACCGCATTTTTATTGTTATTGCTTACTGGGTGTGTGCACTGTGCATATATTTATGATGAATGATTTCCCTGGAAGTCATCCTGCGCGCGATCTTTTATCCGAATATTATGTAAAATATATAAAATATCAACAAAACGTGTCATTTAATTAACAGATTTCAGGTTTGTCGGGCTTAATTGTTTTGCGCTAGTGATTTTATCTGGAACAAAGGATGCCTTCTGGGTCTCAGGTCTGGTTCTGCGCTGTCCTGAAACAAGTGCGCCCCGCCCAAACATTCGCATGCTTCAGTACGACTGCTGACACACTATTTGGCGACATTTGGCATCCGTAACTTTATTTAATAAAAACACTGCATCAACAATGTTGGAGCCAATCGGTCAACTGTCAAATCATCCACGGACACTAGCAGTCTCACGCAGTTTCACCGGCGCACGCGCACACACCCACACATACACACACAGAGGCGTCATCGATGAGCACGTGCACGCTACGGACCTGTGACACAAACGAACAGAACACTAGAAATACAACAAAACGGCTAAGAAAATAGTCCGGTTATTGTACAAATATGGTGGCATAAACTGCCGCCGACCGTGGCAAGGGTGGGAAAATGGTGGGGCGGCCCGGCCGGCCTGCGGAGGGCGCGGCGGGAGGCGCGCTGCCCGCCGCGGTGTCAGCCCGGCCGCCGGCGCCGCGCGCCTCGCTCGGCACCCGTGTATCACAGAAGGGACGGGCGGCGCCCGTCGCTGGCCCGCGCGCGCGCCCGCTCTCACCGCGGCCCGTTCTGTTTGAGCTGTCCGTTCCGCAGCGGCCACTCGCGACTACCGTCCAGATACGCCTCCAGCCGCTCGGCCAAGTGTTTCCGCTTGAGGCGGCGCGACTCGGCGATTATTTCGCGCACAAAGTCCGTCCGCGTGGCACTGTCACCCTGCACCGTGGCCAGTCGGCTGAACAGCACGTCGTAGTCTGAAAACGGACGGTACGTCAGAACGGGCGGTCCTGCAGGCGGGGAGAGATGGCGGCGGGACGACAGCGGCGCTTGACGAGGGCGAGACGGACGGGGACAGAGGGCGAGGAACTGCCGACAGGCGGACAGCCCGGAACCAGTGGGAAGCCAAAGCCAAGAAGCGTTCGACGAGGTAAAATTAGGAATGATTCATGACGCTAATGCTTATACTAATGCTGATGCTTGGACAGAACGGGCAGACCAATGGCGATTCAAATAAATGGAATATTTTGTTCCGAATTTGTTTGATTATTTTAAAGTTCAACGCACTGCACCAGTGATTCAGAAATTGGTTCAACTACCCCGCAGTTAGATCGACAATACCGGCCACCATCAACCGTCAATGCAAGTCTGCTGATAAGTGTGGGACTTGAGAAGCGTCCACAGCAAACAATATGTGGCTTCTGAACCACAATAATGACGAACAACATTGCTGAAACGAAAAGAACTACCATTCTTTTAAACGTAGCACAACACAAATAAGATATCAAACAACGCTCACAAGATACAATTTGAACTCTGCGGCCGACGAAAATTACCGAGCGTCACACAACACATGGGTTACTTAGACCAGTATAGCGCCTTTTGGGGCGACTAACGGAGCGAGCGAGGGGGTGAGTCTTGCACGTGCGAAATTTCGAGGGGGTACCTCCAACTGACTTGTGCACGGCACCCTACTGACTGGTCTCTAGCGATGTGCCAAATTTGGGCACAATCGGCCCAGCCGTTCTCGAGATCTGGAAGCGGCACCCTGCACGCGCGCACGTGCAAAATGGGTCCCAACTGACTTGTGCACGGCACCCTAGTAACCGGTCCCTAACTGTGTACCAAATTTGAGCGCAATCGGTCGAGCCGTTCTCGAGATCTGGAAACGACCCCTGCACGTGCGCACGTGCAGCGGCACCCCAACTCTGGCACATGGATATGCAGTGCCTAGTGGGTGCCTACCTACATGCCAACTTTCAGCGCAATCGGCCAAGTAGTTACCGAGATATTGCAACAATTACAAAAGTGACACCTCTTCGTTTTGCACGTGGCACGTGCATAAGGGGTCACCCACATGCATCGGGAATAGTCCAATACTTGGTAGAAGGAATGAAGCTACCCTACAAAAATTACCGCATGTAAATCGGTCAAGTGGTTGCTGAGATATAAGTCTCGCAAAAGCGTCCGCACGGCCGGCCGGCCGGCCGCTCATACTCAGAAATTTCCGTTATTCTACGTAAGACTCCGCTCGCTTCGCTCGCTCCGTAACAAGAAAAAGATATATCCGGTGCTAATCAAGCGCTAATCAACGATCAAGCACTCGTCAAGAGCATCCTAACAACCTGCACGTAACTATTATAGCCCGCACGATCCAACTATTCTAACCCAGCTGTAAGTACCAATTATAGGGGGAGGGGAGCAGAAGTAGAATACTCACTGCGTCCGGGCCGCCGGATCTCCTTGAAGAGGCTCTGGCGCAGCTGCCGGTTGAGCAGCCGGTCGGGCCGGCCCGGCGGGAGGCCGCCGTTCACGGTGGGCGGCGAGGGCCGACAGCCGGCCGCCGCCGAGGAGTGGGAGTGGGAGTGGGAGTGGGAGTTTGTCCGCGGCGACGGCGGCGGCGACAGGCTCACTTGAGACGGCTCCGAGGACGTCCGAATGTCCGACAGCTCCGTGTCTGAGAGAGCGGGGGCGGGGGGGGGGGGGTCAACATATCGTCAGACGTCCGGATGTCCGATAACTCCGTGTCTGCGGCGGCGGGGAGGCTTGGTCAGAGGGACGATACGGGAAGACGCAAAACGCGATCAGACGAGACGAGCGTCCGGGACTCGCAGACACATCACAGAGCGGAACATGAGACGGAATGAGAGGGGACGACGCGAGACGGGAACCATACAAATCCACCAAATCAAACGGAACAGAACAAAGCACAACTAGGTGAAAATATTGAAGGAGCTGTGCGTTACAGCCGCCAGTGTGATTTCACAGGTTCAAAACCTCAACCTGGACTGCGACGGTTCGACAAGTGAGACACATAACAAAACAAATACCGGCCAAGAGCGCGCAAGATAATTGACTATGCAAACATGCTAAGAAGTTCAACTAACGAATCTTGGCAGAATAGCGCGCACAAATTCCAAGCGGCCAACGTTCATGTGTAAACACGAGAAGTTTCTGGACAAAATTCGCTTAAAGGCAAACAATGTTGAGTAAATTATCGCTTTAGCTTATCTAACACCCGTGAAACCTAGAATCAGACCATCACCAAAGCCTACAGGGTGTAACGAAATTATCCGGACATCTTTATTCGCGCTGTAATTAAGAAGCAAGACAATCTGATATTTTCTCTTTTGAATTATTATATAGCCACCTTTCATAAGAGCGCAGGTACAAATTTCTGAAGCATTCCAGCCACTGGATTTTCCAGCACAGTGGGTTTCATATAGAGTAGCGCCATACTAACCTGTACCCACAGTTGGGCGGCGCTGGTGGCGGGTGTCCCCTCATTCATCTCCTGATGGACAATATAGTCCATAAGATATCGATGGAATTGGGATGGGAACTATTTCCAGGCCATAGCCCGTTAGCCCAGAAGAACAATAGGTCCTCTCGGCATCACTTCTCATTCTGCTAGGGACTTGAAGTTGGTGCGCCGCCCCGCATGAAGACTGCGCGGCTTGAATCAGGCATCAGCACGCGTTCAGAAACCGAGCCCTCCTGTGCCGTCTGGCTGAGTGGCTCCAACCAATCGCTAGCCAGGATGTTGCGCCGGTAATACTCATTACTGATAGTGGTTTTCTGTGGCGTCATGAACAACTTGAATATTGCACAGCAGCTGAACATGCTCCAGGTCTGGATTTTGGCCGGACGTTTGACGCCGGCGACGGCCGGCATGTTCGAGCTGCTGGCAGCCCACACATGGCCGATTTGACGGTTCAACGGACATCGCAGCTCGAACAGTTTCCCATCCAACCAGGCCACCTCATTCATGTGTTCCTTCGACCAGTGGACACGCCATGGCCTGAGGCCAAAGGTGGTGGACTGGTTGTTTTCCCGTCAACTTCATTGTCTTTTTCAGTTTGAAGGGCAGTAAAACCAAGCTAGAGGGCGGGTGACGGTGAATCATGATATGGGACCTCTTATTATCTGCCTTGGTAAGAATTCGAGTCAGTTTGCGAATTAATTGGTGCCGTTTCCTTGCCGCTATCCTGACAACTCTCCTCACCACTTGGCAAAGGGCGCCCTTTGCGATCGAGGCCGGGCTGAGTCTGCCACCAAGTCCAAGCTTATTACGCCTCAGGCAGATGTGCTACTGGCTGCTGCTGATGTCAAGCTGCTGACAGACCAGCTTCTGGCTCATGCCACCATGCCACCAACACGTAGCCTTACTACGAAACGAGAGACTGTACTCCCTTCTCTCCACCGCCTTAAACGAAAACTATCAAATGAACCCGTCGGCGACTCGACTCTTACTCAGAGCAAGAGTCATTTCGCAAGGTCAGGTCACTGCTGAGTTGAGAGCAGATACCAGAGGTATGCATTCATCCAATTTTCCAGCTTCTAACATTACAAAAGAAACTGTGCGAGCAGATATGGCGAAAAAATAGATGTCCGGATAATTTCGTTACACCCTGTAGTTAGTTTAACACGGGTAGCAGCTCCACCGCACGGTCTCGTCTTACCGTCCTCGAGTTCCTCCAGGGTGACCACGGTCGGCTGCGGCGGCGGCGGGGTCGGCGGGAGCACCAGGGGCGGCGCCGCCGGCACCGTCACCACCGGAGGCGTCAGCGGCGGCGGCGGCGGCGGCGGCGTGGGCGGGGGCGGCGCGGCCGGCGGCGGCACCGTCACAGCCGGCGGCTGCTGGGGCTGCGCCGCTACCATCGGCGGCGGCGGCGGCGCCGGCGCGGCGGCCGGCGGTGTGGGCGGCGGCGGCGTCACCGGCGGCCGGCCGCCGCGCGGCACGTAGCCCAGCGACACGACCACGGGCTCGGCCGGCGGCGGGGTGGCCATCAGCGGCTGCGAGGCGTTGATGAACATCATGCCGGGCGGCGGCGGCGGCAGTTCGCCGATCGGCGGCGTCACGGTGATGGGCGGGGAGGCCGGCGCCGGCTTATCCGGTATCACCATGACCGGCGAGACGGGCCGG